GCTCAGTGGATTGAGTGCTGGCCTGGGAACCAAAGGGTTGCTGGTTCAATTCCCAGTCAGGGCACATGCCCGGGTTGCAGGCCAGGTCCCCAGTTGGGGGCATGTGAGAGGCAACCAATCAATGTTTCTCTCTCACATCACTGTTTCTTTCCCTCTTTCTCCCTCTCTTTCCCTCTTTCTAAATATAAATAAATAAAATCTTTAGGGGAGGTAAAAAAGAAAAAAAGACCACAACTTGAAGGGCGAGTACTGTCCACAAGTTAAGGGAACTCTGAGGACTTGTCATGCCCAGGGAAAAAGCCGACTCCCCAGTGGCCGGAGGGCAAGTAAGCGCACACCCTGAGGATGTCCACACACTTAGGACCCCCACACCACACTGCTTGTCAGGCAAGAAAGACCAGAAAGTACCAGCCTTGTGCTGCAGTATTTTACCTACTGGAACAGTGCAAAGGTACACTTGGGAAAGGGAGGTGATACAGTTCTATGGTGAGTAAGCTAATTCCCCTCAATTCCAGGCATTTAGTTCCCTGGTCACACCAGTTCTTTTCCAGGTCTTTCGACTGCTCTCCAAAACAGCTTCAGCGGGGTGCAGTGCTCAGGCTTTTCATAACCACTGCTCCTGTTCCTGCATGAAAAGACGGCTATTCATGCCCGCAGGTTTGGTTATAAGGCAAGCATTAGTCATCAAGAATTTCTCAAATAAACATTCCTGCTAGAAGCAGGTCTCTAAAACAGAGACTCAGTTATGTCACCCTGCTGCCCCAAGAACTGTTGCGGGTTCCCTAACGAAGCTCAGCCCTTCAGTGGAGCCCCTGGTCTGGCCCCAACTGCTGCCTGCAGACCATCTGATGATCCCCAAACACACTCTGCACCTCTGGCCTCAGTAAATGTTTGGGAGGAGGGGAGAGGGACGTTTTGAGGAAGTCTCTTCACTGCCCCACCCTGTCGTACTCCGAACGGTGCGGCACTGCACTGTTTCCAGACACTCGCCAGGACTCCGCAGTCCTGAGCAGGGTGCTGCGGGTGAGAGCACCAATGCCCCCCTGGAGCCTGAACACGAGGACGGCTGGACAGGGTCTGTACGTCTCGGCTCTATCTGTGGAGGGCAGAGTGGCTGCTGGTCTGGACATTCGTCCGGTCCGAAGGATGCAGGCCAAAAACTGTGGCCTAGGTTATTACAAAGTGGATTTTAATCCCTGGGGTCTCTGTGTTAGAGTACATGTGCGTCGAGGTCATCTTTATAGGGAAAAACAGTCTGGCTCTATCACTGGGGGTCAATTCTGAGTTAGTACTTTAGACAAATGAAGAAAAACAACACATTATCCTCCTACCCTCTTAATCTTGTGGAGATGTTTTATTTTTAATCTTAATTCTTCCCCTCAGTTACGTAGTGAGTACTGCCCCTCTTCTTTGCTTTAGTTATACATCTCCTTTATCTTATTTCAACGGGAAAAAAGCAATGAGGACCCAGACCAGGGCCCTGGCCTGAACTGAAAAGCTCCCCAGTGCCCCCACCCCCACCCTGCCGACAGGGCACGTGGCCCACGCCCACTCAACTCCAGCACACTGGAGGCCCAACTTTCCCACCTGGGCTCCCTGCCACCTTCATCTAACTACATGGATGCGGTACACAGAGAGCTACCTCTGAGAATTTAATCAAACCGGAGAGTTCTTACCTAACCTACTCAATGATGCCCTCGCATCGAAGGAAGAAACTGGTCAGAGGGACAGGCCTGTACAGCAGGGGGCGCCCAGTGCTGCCCCGAGGAGACTCATCAGGGCGTCTAGAGCAACTGAAGTCACTACAGATGTGCTGTGTGTGGGGGAAAAGCAACGCCTCACCGCGGCCGGGATGAAGCGGTACTCAATTAACTGGGGCCCACAAAATAATAATGACCCATTTCTTGACCTACAAGGCACAGTGAACACTGCAACAGAATGGCCGCTCTGAAGTACAAGTGCATCCCATGCCCTGTGGGGAAAAAGGTTATTTACACTTCCACAGGCTCAGTCTTTTGGTGTCTTTATTTTTCTAAAATAAACACAGGTTCTTCCTAAATTGTTAAGATCAAAGTTCTTCAGATATCCAAGCAATGTTAAACCAAAGTTCCCAGTAAGGAATCTTCTAAAAAACATGAAGAACAGACTATATTTACTGTAGGAAATGACACTGGCTCAGACTTTTTACATTTCTTGACAGGGACCTCGAGATCTAGTTTTTCTCTTCACTGGCTGTGAAGTAAACTAAAAATGGAGTTTTCTGGCAGGTTTAACTCAAACAGAGCGTGCAGTCCAGCTTCTTCCACACCAGTCTCCCGCCTGCACTTGCCCCTAATCCGATCTGCACATGATAGCAAAGCAATATCCTCACTGAAAACTAGTTGTTACTTCTTAAACACTTTCAATAAAAAGAAAAAAGCTAACATCTATCGAGTACTTAGTGCTCACTTTTTAAATACTTTAGATGTTTAATTCACTTAGGCTTTACAACAGCCTAATGAAATAAGCACTGCCAACATTTCATAGATAGGGAAACAGTTAAGCAACCTGCAAAAGATCCTACGGAAAGTGGGAGCAGCAGGGAACTGAACAATAGCGGCCTGGCTCTAGGGCCCCAGCGCTTACCCAGCATGTCCGCAGGAGGGGTTCTGGCTTCCACTTATTTTTTTATCCTCACCTGAGGACATTTTTTCTTTTTTTTTAAAGATTTTATTTATTTTTAGAAAGAGGGAAGGGAGGGGGAAAGAGAGGCAAAGAAACATCAATGTGCAAAAGAAACATTGACTGGTTCCCTTTCTCATGCCCCCAACCCAGACTTGCGCCCTGACAGGGAATCAACTAGTGAGCCTTTGGCTTGCAAGATGAGGCCCAATCCACTGAGCCACACCAGTCAGGGCTTCATTGCTTTTAGAAAGAGAGAAAGGGACACACAATGACTGGTTGCCTCCTGTACGCAACCAGACCAGGGATCAAATGCGCAACCTTTTGATTATGGGTTGATGCTCCAACCAACTGAGCCACATTAGCCAAGGTGGGCTCCTACTCCTTTAAGGAAAGGTCTGTGATAATTACCATCACTTGCTGAACACTTACTGCCTGGTGCAAACTTTAAAATATACATTCTTTTTAATTTTTTTTATTGATTGATTTTTGAGAGAGAAAGAAGGGGAAGAGAGACATCAATCTGTTGTTTCACTTACTGACACATTCATTGGTTGTTTCTTGTATGTGCCCTGACCAGGGATCAAACCCGCAACCTTGGTCTATCCGGATAAAATATGCATTCTTATGTTCTTATATTTGACCCTCCCAATGACCTACTAGCAACCATTGATAAGAATGAGGAAACTGCCCAGCTCAGAAGTCATCTAGCCGGGGAGGCGCAGAACCCCACAACTCGGCCTGCCAGGCTGCCGGCACAGTCCCTGCTCTTCGCCCCATAGGCACACAGGCGGCGTTCCCGCAGTCGCACCCACTACCCCACTCGAGCCTCTGCCCACACCCACACCAAAACAGTACAGGCCCAGCAGACAGAGACCACCTGCAGTCAGGGCCTGCGGGGCGGGACTGCAGGGGGCCTGTCCTGCGATGCCCGCTCCTTCTGCAAATGTTGAGTAAAACTGCGAAACCAGGACAGTTTATAGAAGTGGCCTGAGGATGCAGCACCGATTCCACGCCTTCTCCTAGAGGAAAGACCTAGGAGAGAACTAGTCTCGAGGAATGGCTAGGGGAATGAGTACTGAGAGGCTATCATGAACCAGAAGCCAGGTGAAGCGCTGGCCAGTAAACTGGGGTGGGGGCAGGGGCACATTTTAGACAACAAGGGAAAGAATCTGTTCTTGTCACAAGCACGGAGCGGTATTAACAAGCATCTGCTGAGTGAATGACTGAGAAAACAGTATGTAACATCTTTACAGCCGGCTGTGCACATTTAAACTAATTTGGCGTGCTCTGGAAAACCGCCAGCAGCTCACGCCCCCTCACTCGCACAGGTGAACCGGGGCTTGCACAGGCTGGAGGCGACTGACAACACTGGAGGGGCCCGAGGGAGGTTGGGGCACAACCTGCAGATCACCTCCGAAGCTCCTCGCTCAGCCGAGTTTTCTCCGAGAACCGAGCTACAACCACCGGGCGGCGGCCAACGGGGGCGGAAGGGGCGGGCAGGAGAGCGTACAGGGGCAGAAACGGGGATGGAGCGACACTGGACTCGGGGCGGTGAGCCCACCATACAACACACAGATGACGTGTTACGGAGTTGCAGACCTGAAACCTCGGTAACTTTATTCACCACTGTCATCCCAATAAATTCAACTAAAAAACAAAAAAGAAAGAAACGGCCGACCTCCGGCCGGTTTTCCTGCCCACGCCCGAGGACGCCTCCGCCAGGGTCCCGCCGCGCTCAGCCCCGCGCCCCGCTCTCCACGGCCGTAGCCTCGGGCTCCGCGCCTGGAAACTGGGGACCCCGTTCGTAACGGGCCGACAGAGCTGCGAACGAGCAGATGACATCGTGTGTACACGAGCGCGCCGCGCAAAGGAACGCGAGTGCTAACGGCAGCGGCTCCGAGCGGGGAACCGAGCGCAGGGTATACAAATTAAAGGGCCGGGCGGAGGCGGAGCAAGTCGCTTCTCCGCTGAAGTTCAGTCGTCCTCACTCGGGGCCGCGCTGAGAGCAGGAAAAGCGCGGCCCAAGCCCTGTCTTGAGGGAAGGGGGCTGAGCCGGGCAGACCCTGGGGACCCCAGGGCACCCCGGTCCCGCCGCCGCTGCGGACAGCGGCCCCACCAGCCTCCCCCGGCCCGTCGGAGCGACGGTGCCTGCAGCCAGTAGGCGGCCGGATGTCCAGGCCTGCGGCGGCGGCGACGGCCGGGCCAATGAGCAACGCGGCTACGGCAGGGGGCGGGAGCAGGCGGCCCCCCACGTCGCGCCGGGGCCTCTCTGTCCTCAGCCCCGAGCCCCGCTAGGCCGCGAACCCTAAACCCCGAAGGGAGAAAACGCCGCTCACCGTCCTTTTGCCGCAGCCCCGCGCTTCCGGATAAGCTCGTCCAAGGAGATGTCCGCCATCTTGCACCACAGAGCAGCTTAGATTGCCTTATGCCTAGACCCCGCCCCTTCAGCCGCTACGGTGGGACTGTTTCCGGCGCTCGGTCGACGAACTCTCGCGACAGCTCAAATGAGGCAAGAACAGGAAGGGGCGGAACGCTCTCCAGGAGCCTTAGCGACACAGTCTACTTATCTGCATACGTAGGGTCAGATAGTTATCGTTCTGTATTCTCCCTTGGACAAATAATATGAAAAGCGACATAAAGTATTAAGTAATATTAAGACCAACCTCAAAGAAATGGGAGTCTCAGTTCAATGAACAAGTTTGATACTCACCGTAGTACTAATAGGATTAAAATTCATTATGTACGAAGTAACAGAAGCGTACTTTTATGCCTTAAACTTATGAGTAAGGAAAATAACGATTCGGGGTGACGCCCGAATCCTCACTGCTAATGTGAGACGAATTTTTGAGCGGGTAAAGGTTGCCCCTAAGGTGACCCGCCTACTTTGCGGGATGCCTGGGAGTCGCGATCTGCCCGTCCCTTTACGCTTAAAAAGCAGACGGACTTGTAAAAAGCACAGTACTTGCGTTATGCTTTTTTTTTTTTGAGTCAATATTATTTTGTAGTTGAAGTGTGAAGTCTGTGAGCAGAGAACAAGTAACGCAGGTTGTCGCAGGAGATTAGATTAGCGGAGGTCAAATAAACTCTCAGAAGAGGGTCCTACCCGTAGAGGTACCCCCGCTCCGAGCTTGGCGTACTCGTCGAATCGATAAGAACATACAACGTCTTTAGGAAAGCGCCGACGAACTTACTGGTCTACGAATTTTCTGTTGGTGTTACTATTTTCTTAGTCTAACAACACCGCGAATGGAGTTAAGTATTGGGTTTTTTTTTTTTAATTAGGGTGAAATTGGTTAATAAGGAGTCATCTATTCTTGACAGAACATCATGTTACAATAAAAAAAATCTGGCACCAGATGTTCCATGGAAAGACTGGGTAGTCATAAGGTCTGAGGTTGGGCACCAGAGGAGAACCCAGGTCTCAACTGGGCAGCGTGATTGGGTGCTGGCTGGCCCTCCCTTTCTCAACTGAGAACAGCGACCACCAAGCCCGCCATCCCAGCGGTGCGTGCCTCCAGGTTCGGCCTCAGCCTCGGGCCGGCTGGAACGTGGTGGTCAGGTGTGGAGGTGTGGAAGAACTAGGGAGCGGCCAGAGGATGCAGGAGTGAAAGCCCTGTAGCCCCTTAAGTGGAATGTAAAAAAAAAAGTCAGTTCAATGATTTTTTTTTCAAGTCATCACAATAGAACCAGTAACTGAAATCAACCTATTCTGGGTTCACAGCGGGGTAGCCTTTCCTCAGGGGCATTTCCAAGCTTTGTGGGGTCCTGTTTGGTTGTCTGAACGACACGGATTCGGTCACGTGGAGGTGGGGGTCAGTTTTCCCTCGCTGGTGACATTCCCGGGGCTGAGAGGCCTGCTGCGATTCTGAACCGGGCTTCACTCCATTTCTTGTATGAACACGCAGGACTTTTTATCCGGTGTAAAAAAAAAAAACAAACACGGAAATGCCAGCAATGCAGCTGCTCAGTAGCCAAGGAAATGTTTGGAAACTGACGGAGGATTGCGCCCTGCCTGGGAAAATTTGGCCTGCTTCCTGCCAGGAGGCAGAGCCTTGGAGCCTGGCTGCACTTGGGGCTGTGACAGTTCAGGGACCTGGCATTTGGGCAAACCCCTGTTCTACCCTCCTTCTGGGAGTACTGGTGCAGCATCTACAGGCTGGAATGGGCACCATTTAATAAATTCCTTTTCTTTCTTGCTCTTTTATAGTATAATTGGTGATATTACCTGTGAATTCCCTTCAGGAGGGTAAAGGGGTTGTTATGTATGTTATTTTGAAAGGATATCAGGTCTGAGGGGGTGGAAAATCACAGACCTAGTTCACGTACCCATTTTACAGATGGGGAAACAGACCAGGGGAGAGCAGGGAGACCAAGTCCAATTCATGCCCTTCTTCCCTGCTCCTACAGACAGCTTCTAGTGGGCTCAACCAGGTGTACGTTCAGACCTTGACCCTCAGCTCAGGCCTGTTTTCTCATCCTCCAGATGGAGACAGAAATGAGGAGAACTACTGTGTGCCCATTGCTCAGCAGAGCCCAGCATACAGTAGGTGTGAACAAGGACTCTTGGGGCCAGGGATTCCCAGGTTCAGTCCTTTTCCAGACCACTGGGGACAGAATAGGTGAGAGGAGAAAAAAGGGGCTCCCCTGGCCCCCAAAGTCCAGCCTCTCAGGTTTCTTCCTGTGAACTCCCCACTCCACTCCAGCCACGCTGGCTTTCACTATGTTACCTGAGCCTCCCAGGGTCCACAGCCTCTGGCCCAGCCTTCTGCCTCCAGGAATCTGTCCTAAAACAGCCTGGAAGGAGGGTAAAGATGCCAGTTATTTACGAGATCCACAAACTGAGAGCAGCCTCACTGTCCAACCATAGGGGACCCGCTACACTTGGATTTATGCTAAGAGTTCATCTGACATTAGGGGTAAAGGCAGCAGCCAGAGAGTGGACACTGTGGTTTCATTCAAGTCACGTTTGCCCCTGGGTGTCTGGTGTTATCATTTTTCCTGTGTACACTTTTCTGTGCTCTCTAAATGCCAAGCTCTGCACAGCCCCTTCCTGTCCCCCTCCCTGCCACCCCCAGAGGGACACAGGTCATAGCCTCAAGAAACCACACGAGGGTTAATATTAGCAAAGTTTTATTTCAACTTCTTTTCTGCTCATAAATGACTGAAAAAGCCGATATGCAAAGGCTGACCCACTGTCGTCTGAAGGCAATGTCGAGGCCACTGAGGATGTGGCTCAGAGAGGGTCTGCTCAAAAATCTCCCCCACACTGGGGTGCAGGCAGCAGGACGGGTAGGTTTGGGACAGAAGAATAAATACACATGAACTGTGTCTTAGCTCTGCCATCAGGGTTGGTGGCCCAGGACACTGAAGGGGTTGAACTAACCACCAAGCTGATAGCTTGGAGCTCCCAAAACTGCTGAACATTTGCACGTATTGGAGAAAATGGGGAGGCTTCGGGAGGGCCCATGTGCCAGCCAGAGGGGCCCTCGACCAGCCCCCTCCTCCCTGGGCCCTGAGGTGGGGGCGGCCTCTCACCCCCAGCAAGCCCTGCCAAGGACTTTTGGGTAGTAACTGTATTTAGTGTCAGGTGCTAAGGTGCTAAGGCCTGGCCTGGCCCTGAGGCAGGCAGAGAGGCGGCAGGCAAGTCCCAAGGTAGAAGCGGGGGGTTCCTCGGCACCTACAAGCCTGGGCTGCCCGTACGTTTCCTTACAGACTGTGGTCTGCTCTGGGAGGGGTGGGTGGTACATGGTGTTGATGGCCTTGGCCCAGGAGTGTGGGGCATTTGGGGTGAGGGAGGGACAGGACCTGGGACTGGGCATCACTGGTAAGAACTGGTGAGGGTCAGCCAAGAACCTGCCCCAAAGGTGGCTGTGGTGGCCCACTGTGACAGAACCCTGTTCCCAAAGGGGCCCCTTGGGGGCCAGCCCAGCAGAGTGGCCACCCAGGCATGGGCAGGCCAAGCTGAGCCTGGGGCCGTATGAGATAAGGGGGAGTGACCTTATAGATGGCAGGAAGGGGCGGGTGCCGACAGGGCACGTGAGGATGAACAGCGGGGGGGGGGGGGACGCAGGTGGCCAGTGCCGGCCCTCAGAAGGAGAAGCAGCGCTCCTGGGGGTGGCCCACGCGGTCCAGGTTGGGCAGGCAGGCGTACTGGATCATAGGCGGGGGTCCACACATCAGTATCAGTGGCTCCTCTTCTGGGGGAGGCAGGTGGTCCCGGATCATCTCCTCATTCACAAAGCCCTCGCTGTAGTCCCACGCTGCGGGGCAGGAGATGGTGTGAGCCCCAGTGTTGCCCGGGGACTGCCCACCTGCCCGACACCCTCCCCGGGCCGGTGAAGCTCCCACGTGAATGCCTCCCTTTCAACAGTAACCTCTTCAAAGAGAGAAGAGGTTAATCTGAGCAAACCCTCCCTGATCCCCTGACCTGGCCTGGCTTGCCCATGACCCAAACACAGCCCTTCACGGTTTCCATGTGGCCTTGCAGGTGGCCCTCAGAACTGCCCCGTGGGTGGACAGGGACAGGGTTCATGATCCCATTTTACAGACATGGAAACTGAGGCCCAGAGGACCCAGAACTGAGTTGTCCAAGGTCACACAACGAAAGATACACTCGGCCAGGATGTGAACTCCAGGTCCCAGACGTCTGCCCCCATGCCAGCGTCCGCCCCAGGCTGGCCAAGGTGACATTCTCCACTGATGCCTCTCCCACACCCCCACTGTGTGACCCTTGCCCCCAGCAGAGTGTCGGCCTGTGAGGAGCCCCGTCTGGGTCACGGCTGTGTTCCCATTGCCCAGACAGCCCGGTAGCTCAATTAATAACGAAGGAAGAAATGACCCCAAACAAGCAGCCGAGGAGCCTGAAAACAGCAGGATCCAGGTACAAACCAAAGCTCCCAACGCAGCAGCACCAGCTCGCTCCTGGTCCTGCCTGCCCCCCCACCTTCCACATGTACGCACACAGCGTGTCTCCAGGTTTCACCCAAGATCTGGAACCTTCTTTCATGCCTCCAAGTGACTGACAGTGCCCATGGTGAGGCTGGCAGGGGCTCTTGTCCACCAGGAACTGACGTGCTGCGAGGGCTGCTCCCGGAGGGGACCACCCAGCCCGGTGCACAGTGGGTTAACGGGTGCACAGTGCACAGTGGGTTACTGGAGGCTGGCAGGGCTCCGACAGGAGGAGGGGGCTGACGATTGGGGATCCTGTTGGGGGTACAAGACAGGAAGAGGAGACGCCCACCTCTCCTCTTTAGCTCTGGCTTCCAATCTGCTGGGCAAAGGACCCCTGTGTGCCTCAGTTTCCACATTTGTCCTCCCAGTGCTATCCTGCCTGCCGCAGAGGGGTATAAGGTCTAGCGAGAGGTCTCCCGCCTTCTTTCAAGTTGCCTCTTCTTTTGGATGAGTGAGGAGGGGACCTTGCATGAAGCTCGCCTTCCCTCACAGTTCTTCAAT